TGCTGAGGGCGAGTTCTAAACAAGGAATGAACCCCTAAATTCGAAACTTGTATTTCGTCGTAGCTGTCACCTTCAGCTTGATGCGGTGGTCATCACCATTTTTTTTTCACTTTGTCGGTTTTTGCCTTGTTTTCCACCTTTACTCCACTCTCTCCCCGCCCCTCCGATCCTTTTTCCCTGACTGCATCTGCTGCTAGCCCTTCTTTTCCGTTTTCTCTTGACGTCAGCCAACTTGTAGAATGGTTCTCAGTTATCCACCCTGAAGAGCGGTTCACCGTTAAATTTTCTCCCGACCTTTTCCGTTAGCCAGAACAATTTGCCTCCGCCTCACTTTGGTCGAGTGATTGCTAATCAGTCACAAGTTAATTACTGTTCACATGTCAACTTCCACTAAACGAGAGCTTGCTTAAGTTAGTAGAGGAATGAATCAATTTGAGCTGCCGATCACACGTATCCCATGCCGAAGCATTTATTCTGTACTGGGACGCGTTGTTGGGAAACGTACAGCTTTCGCTTGATTCTCCTTCCCCTCCCCCCCCCCCCCCACACTTTCCCTCTCTTCCCGTTTCTTCCCCCTTTCTTGCTGTAATCCGTGTCCAGCAATTCCAAAGCGACCGAACTGCTGCATCTTTTCTCTCCTTCTTTCCCCCTCTTCCCCCCCCTTCCCCCCTCTTCCCCCCTCCCTTCCCCCCTCTTCTCCCCTCCCTTTCCCCCCTCTTCCCCCCTCCCTCCCCCCCCCCTTCTCCCCCTCCCCTTCAATCCTTGGATTTTAGCTCCACCCTTCTGCGGGCCCTGACTCCAGCGGAGAGGGTGATGTTGCGCGGGAGTTGGTACGCTTAGGGAGGACGGCTCTACGGTCGCTTCGTTTTGACGAGACTGCTCGTTGACGTCACTAGTATTCCCCGAAAAGGAAAGCGGTATTCGATGCACGCGTACTTTTTCGCTATTTTAGGTGCGTGCGCAAGCGACGTTGGAGTTATTTTTTGGGTACATGGCCCGCCTGCTTCAGACTCCGACGATTCATATTCTCGTTCTTCTTGTTGATCCTAACCCTTATCCATTCTTTTATTCTTTCTTATTCATTCTTTTATTCTTTTCTTTTATTCTTTCTTATGTATTCTTTTGTCGTCTTCTTTCGTCGACGGCACGTTCGGCGGGAATGAGGGAGGTGTGTGGTGGTCCCGAGAAGAGAACTGGGAAGCATTACTGTGGTTAGCAGCGAGTGTCGAATCCTCTTCGCTTCCTTGAGTCGTGCTGCTGTGCCAGTCTACTCACTGCTTCTATGGCTCGTATCGGTCTGACCTTCTCTCCGTTCTTCGCTCCACCCGCTCTCTTCCTCACGCAGTTCTCCCCCCCTCCCCCTTCCTTCCCCCCCCCCCCCCCAAAACCCATAAACTCCATAGGCTTCTGTCGATGTTGCTCCCTACCACTGCCTTTCTTCCCGTGGGTTTGTCATCCTTTCCTCTTCTGTCCGGGCTGGCCTCTCCTATTGTTGCTCGTTCATTGCCTCCCCTTTCTATCTTCCCTCCCCCATCCTTCTCCTTTTCGCTCACCCGTCGTCTCTCTCTCTCTCTCTCTCTGTGTG